CCATCGGCCTGGATCGTGCACTCCGACTGGCCGGGCCCGGCCTCGCATTGGTCGCACTCGGCGAAGCAGCTCAGGCAGACGCCGGCCACCGGGGCCGACGCCCCGGCGCAGGCCGACGCGCAGATGCCCGCGCCCGGGTGCAGGAGGCCACCGTTGCAGCCGGTACACTGCCCTGCCGCGCCAAAGCACGTCCGGCACTCCGCCGAGCATGGCCCGCAGGCATGCGCACCGGCCGGCAGGAACTCCCCAGCCGGGCAGGCAACGTAGCACGCGCCGTCCGACAGAACATACCCCGGCTCGCAGTGCGTGCACGAAGCATCACAGCCCGGGCCAAAGACCTCGCACGCGGCGCACTCCCCCGAGCAGGGGATGCACCGGGCCTGGGCCGTGCACCCGACCGACCGAGCTGGACAGCCAGCAGCGCAGCCACCGTTGGGCTGCAGCATGAACCCATCCTCGCAGCCGGTGCAACCACTCGCGTCCTGGCAGCTGGCGCAGAACGCCCCACAGGGAAGACACACATTGTCCTCGGCGAAAAAGCGCCCCGGACAGCCAGCCCGGCAGGTGCCCCCCAGCAGCGCCCTATCCCCGGCGCAAAGGGTGCACTCGATGTCCGTCGGCCCGGTGCACGCAGCGCAGGTGTCACTGCAGGGGGTGCAGGTGCCCCGGTCCGGGAACATCCCGGCCGGGCACTCGGACAGACAGCGGCCGGCCACCAGGAGCGGTGCGTGCCCAGGGCAGGACAGACACTGCTCGGGCCCCGGGCCAAAGCAGCTGCCACAGCCCTCGTGGCAGAAGATGCACTCACTGCCCAGCGACGAGGTCCCCTCCGGGCAGTTTTCCACGCAGTCCGGCCGGGCCAGCAGCCACCCCCGCTGGCACAGGCCGCATTCGGTGCTCGACGCCGGGCAGCTGGCACAGTGGCCCGGGCAGGCGGCACACCCGCCGGCCGAGGGGCTGTATCCGGCCGGGCAGGCGGGCACGCACCGGGCCGGGGTCTGCCCGGCCGGCAGGGCCAGCAGGTCGTCGATGCAGGCACCGCACTCGGTGCTCCGGGTCCCGGTACACGCGTCGCACGACACATGGCAGGGCAGGCACCGCCCGGCAAGGGCCACATGCCTGGCGGCGCAGGCCTGCACGCAGTCGCCATCCTGCAGCAGGGCATCCTTGCACCGCCAGCAGTCCCGGTCGGGCCGTTGCACGTGGCGCACGCCGCATCGCAGCCACGGCACATCATGGACACCGTGTCCCAGTACTCGCCCTCCGCGCAACCGGAGGCACAGAAGCCCGCCAGATCGCCGCTCTCCATCAGCTCCAACCCCGGAGAGCAGCCGGTGCATTGGGCACTCCCCCCGCCGATGCAAGTGCTGCAGCTGACATCGCACGGCTGGCACGACTCGCCGTCGGGCCACCACCCAGCCGGGCAGGAGGCCACGCATGTGCCACCGTGTGTCAGCAGTAGCCCCGGCCCGCAGGCCAGACAGTGGTCCGCCGTGCAGGACACACACCCCGGGTCGCAGGCGACGCAGGCCCCCGTGCTCCCGGGGCCCGGCGGGCTCGCCCAGCCGAAGCCTTCGGCGCACACCGTGCACGATGCCGCGCCACCGGCGCACAGCTCGCACGAGACATGGCACACGGCGCACCGGCCATCCCCGAGATACTCGCCCGGCGGGCAGGCCGACGTGCAGCGCGAGGGCATCTCGGCATCCACACTCGCAAAGACCAAGCCCGGCCGGCAAGCATCACAGCCCCGGTCGTCGGTGCAACTGGCGCACGACCCGTCGCACGGCTCGCATGCGTGCGCACTCGAAAGGAAGCGCCCCGCCTCGCAGCCGGTGCAGGTGGCCGCCGTGGTGCAGGTCACACAGCCGGCCGGGCAGGCCCGGCACTCCGACACATCGGGCCACATGCCGAACGGGCATTCACTCACGCAGGCCCGGCCATGGAGCCATGCCCTCCCGGGGACGCAGGCCGTGCAGTGGTCCGGCTCCTCGGGGCCCACGCAGGCCGCGCATGTGGGATGGCACCCATCGCACATGGGCCCATATGTCCCGGCCGGGCAGCCCAGCACCAGCGAAAAGACCACCGGCCCGGTGGCCGGCACGAGGATCAAGAAATTCAGCTGCTGCCCCGAGCCGAGCGACAGCGCCGATGTACCACCGCTGGCCGGCACAGCCTGCACCACGGCCAGGCTCCACAGGGCCGTGTCGGCCGGAGGCCGCAGCTCCACCGGCAGCTCCGCGAAGACCGCCGGCAGCAGGGCGCACGCCCCGGCCGGCCCGCCCGGGCAGTGAAGCACCGACAGCCCGACAAAGGTGCGCGACAGCAGGAGCAGCGCACTGGGGTACCGCGAGCCGCCGTCCGGCAGGGCCACCGCCTGGAACAGGACATCGTGGTGCTCCCCGGTCGGGACCTCCAATGCCTGGGGGAAGGTGCCGATGACTTGCCGGCTGGAGGGCAGGCCGGTGGATCGCCCGGTCGGCACCATGTCCCCAGGCACATGGACGATTTGCCACTCCGTGCCGACGGTGTTGGTGAAGAACAGCTCCTCCGACACCCGGGCCCCGGGCCCGCGGGCGAGCAGTGCCGGCACAAAGCGCCCACTGACTGCCGGCGGGTCTGCCAAGAGGCGCCCCGTCAGCGGCAGCCAAGCATCCCCAAAGGCATCGCCCATGTCTTGCGGCAGGGCGCTCGGCCCGGCATCCTTCGAGGACATTACCATCCAGTTGGGGCCCGTCGTGTCGGTGCGTCCCGACTCCGGCCCCCAAGACAGGGCCTGCAGCCCGGTGGTCGCGACATGAAACACCTTCCCGGAACCCTGCTCGTCGTGGTGCTCGTAGATGATCACCTCATCGGGAGACCGGACGGTCGCAGTGTGCCGCTCACCGAAGCGCCACGCAATGTTGGAGCAGTTGCTCGCTATCCCATACAGGGAAGACAGCAGGGCCGACTCGCAGGGCCCCATGCCTGGGCAATACAGGTCGGCCACTCCGGCGTTCCCGTTTCGATCAACCACCTGCAGCATGTAGAGCAGGCCTCCGGCCTCGTGGAAGGGGCCGATCTCGACGAACCCCACCACCGGAGCGACAAGCGGCGAGGCAAACAAGCGGATCTCCTTCGCCACGTACCTGCCCGGGCTGCCGATGGCCTCGATCGGAAGGAGGTAGGACTTGAGGTGCTCCGTGAAAAGGAGCACCCCCGTGGCCGGGCCGCTGGCGCTGGCCGGCAGGATGGGCACGCCGGAGGACACGTCCACCGAGAGCCACGTCTGGCCGATGGCGGTGATCCGGTCGCCGGGGTCCAGCCCGGCCATGAGACTGGCCGCCAGCGGCGCCGTCAGGCCGACCCCCGGCAGGGCAACATCGCTCAGAGTGCACATGCCGGACACCGGCCGGAAGCCGGCCGAGCAGGACGCCACGCAGACGGTACCGCCGGCCCGGCCGCTCGGTTCGAGCAGCAGGCCGTCCTCGCACACCAGACAGTGGTCCTGGTCGCACGTGCGGCAGCCGGCCTGCGCGCATGGCCGGCACTCGTGTCCGGGCTGGGAAAAGGGTGCCTCGCCTACCGTCAGGCGGGCAGGCGGGCGGGCGGGCGGGCGGGCAGGAAGTCAATTGATCGGTCGATCAGTCAGCCCGTTGATCAGTCAGCCGGGCGGGCAGCCCGCCGATCAGTCAGCCAGCCAGGCAGCCCGTCGGCCAGGCAGCCAGCCAGGCAGCCCGTCGATCAGTCAGCCGGCCGGGCAGCCCGCCGATCAGTCAGCCACCCATGCACCGATGAAGCGTGCACAGGGAGGAGCGACGCTCCAAACGCACCAGGCGGACGGTCCAGGTACCAGCCCTCAGGACACCCGGTGCACAGGCGCTTCGACGAGACGAGCGGCGCTTCGACGCGATCCGGAACGCAAGCCCACCCGAGCGACGAACCGGAAGCCTGGCCCTCCCGATCGCACGCGATGCTCGGGTCATCGGCACAGCGGAAATCCCCCGAATCAAAGAGAGCCCGAAGTTGGCCATCAACAAGATGCCACTTGGTGGATGTGCTGCCAAAGGGCCACAGCAGCAGCTGCAGCGCCGACACATCGGTCACCGCCGGAGGCAAGACCACCCGCTGCCACTTGATGGTACCGGTCTCGAGGGACAGGCGCCAGACCCGGTCCCGGGGGTCGGCCGCGCCCGGTGACACCACATACAGCGGCGAGCCGTAGGTTTGGCTGGCGGTGGCCGAGCCGACCAGCACCCGAGACCCACTCAGGGGCACCCCGACTGGCAACCGGCCGGCCGCCACCATCCCCTGGTCGGTGGCCCCGAAGCGATTGTACAGACAAATATCCCCGGAATCCAGCAGCATCACCACATCCTCCTCGGTCGAGTCCTGGACATGCCAAAACCCGAGGAACGTGGCTTCGAGCTGGACCACCCGGCCCGGGGCCTCCCTCGTCAGTGAGCTGGGCGACCCGCTTGGGAGGATACTCAACTTGCTGAGGCGGATGTCATCGACCAGGAAGAAGGTCCGCCCGAAGCCGGCTGCCGCCAGCACGGCACCCGTCATGGGCAGGCCATCGTGGCCCTGGATGGTCAGTTTGTCGGGGCCCAGGTATGTCCAGAGAATGGTGCGACCCGGGCCCGGGTCGCCAGCCAGACCAAGGAGATCCACACCGATCGCCAGCCTCTCAATCCCCACGAGCAGCTCGACATCCGGCCGGGGAAAGGCATGGCGCTGTGGCAGGTGGAAAAATCCCACCCCATCCGGGGTGTGCTCCACCAGCAGAGGAGGCGTGAGGGCCGGGGCGCTTGGCACCAGGATCTCCGCGGTTCCCGGGTTGTCTGGCCGGGCAGAGTCGATATTGCCCGCTGTCTCCAGGAGGAAAAGACCCCAGCGAGTCTCTGGTGCGTGGATTGCCACGAGCGACGCCCGGTGAAGGCGGAATTGCGAGTTACTCACACGGTACAGAGCAGACGGCAGGAGGCCGCTCGAAGCAATGAGGCTCATCGGCCGGGGCGGACTCAGGACCGAGTACGGGGCCGCGTGGAAGTACACATCCTGACCGAGCGCGCGGGCCACCATGCCAAGCAGCAAGGCCAGCGTGGCCCATGCTTGCCACCGGGCTGGCCGGCCCATGCCCGTGGTCGCTGGCCGTCGGAGGGGAGGAGATCGAGAGGGGAGGGGGAGGGGGGAGGCAAGGAGGGGACGGAATGAAGTCCAAGGCGATGGGAGGCGGCAGGAGGGGAGAGGACGGCGGTGGCGGCGAGGGGGGGGGGGGGGGATGCGCCCCGGCCTGGCCGGGCCAGGTTTCCACCTGGGCTCATTAAAATCGTTATGGTTATGGCTGGGGCCAAGTGATTGCATGCAAGTGACCGCCGGGGGGCCCTTGCCCCGGAGGCGACTCCGGCGGAGGTGTTTTTGTTTCAGGGCTCCTGGCGTTGCACGCCACACTGCGCCCGGCTTGAGCTCATGGCAGGCCCAAATGATGACAACCCCAGTCGATTGCGGGTTTCGGCCCCCGAGTGTCTGCTCGCTCTCCGGCCCAGGCCGCAAGGGCCACGCCAGGGTCTGGCGGTCGGAGGGAGCGAGAGAGGGAGAGACGGCGAGAGGCCGTGCGCATCTGTCCTCCCTGTCCCCGGTCGGCGCTCTCCCCTTGTCGGATAGGGGCCGGCTGGACATACACACCTGCACACTGTGGATGTGCACGCGGACGATACGGGAGTAAATGTGCGCTTGTACGCTCACACACACATATATATATATACATATACATATACATGCATGCGGCGGCCCCAGACGCCCTGCCACGCACGCCTGAAACACTAACAAACCAATTCTTGGACGCGATGGCTGCCGAGTGTTTGAAGCAGGCCACTTCCCCCGGCCCCCCCCCCCCCCCCCGGGAAGAAGTGGGCACCCCGATGCATCAAACACGCTCCTCACCCACCCCAGGGGGCCGCCGAAACCCCTGGATCGAGTGGTCGGGCCGCTGCGACGCAGGCAAGCGGACCGCCCTGCTTCGCCCTCTCTGGCTGCTACACAGCACCCTGCGGACAGAGTGGCGTGCCGCCGGACAAGTGCCCGGCACGTGCCGGGACACTTATCTCGGCGCTCCCTCATGGAGCCCATGTGATGAGCGGTACATCTCCAAAATCAACCAAGCCCTCAGCAGCACGCCAGCATCCGCCCCGGCAATGGGGGCTTTCGGCGGAGCACACGCTTCTGGCACCGGCGCAAGGGGTCAGGCCGGCCTCCGCGCCCTCTCCGGCCCGTGGCCTATTGGCATTGCCTCGAGTGCGCCCTTCACCGCTCCTCCGTGCCATCTGACCTGGGCGCTGGCCGACCCAGTGGGGTAGCTGCACCTTATGAGGCAGGGATGACCAATCTTCGGTGCGTGCTTCGCGCCCGGCGAAGTGCCTCTGTGCCTGGCCCTCCATCCTCCGGGGCCCGTATCACACCTGGCCCGCGGGTCGCGCCTGGCCAATGGCCCGCAGGAGCTGTGCATGCTGGGCGCGCGCCAGCTCCCCCTCGGGCGGGTCCGCACAGCCCTCCTCCCCCCTCGCCCCGGTGTCCCTGTCGGCCAGGCAGCGCACTTGCAAGCGCCAGTGGCAGTGCAGCAGGCCGCGTGACTGTGCGACTGCCGCGCCAGCACGGCCACCCCGCATGCCTGGTGCCCATGGCCCTGCTCGCTCAAGAGGAATGCTCATGCGCCGGACACGGGCCGATGTGCGCAACCCCCTTCCCCTCCTCCCCCTCGGCGAGTCGCCCGAGGGACAACGCGAGACAGTGTCCTTGTGTCAGGAGGCTTTTCTAGTGAACGGGGTGCCGGCCGTCGGGGCACCAAAAGAGGCCCACGCCCCCGAAGGGAGTCCCGGTCACGGGGCAGTCAGGCCGCCGGCCGCCACAAACAGAGCAGCACAGCGCTGGCGGAAGGCCGCGGTGCCCGGCCGCCGACCGGGATCCGCCTGCCAGCCAGCCTCGACGAGGTCGCGCGCCGCCGCCAGCGGGCCGTCCCCCGGCAGGGGGGCCACACTCGGCCGAGAGCCACCAAGCACCGCGGCCATGATCTCGCCGATGTTCTTCCCCGGCCAGGGGGCCGCGCGCGTCAGACACTCGTAGAGCATGACCGATGCCGCGTACACATCGGCCGGGAAGAAGTGCCCCCGGTCCAGGGGCAC